TTCCTGGTGTTGAGGTGAAAAATAAAAATTTCCTTTAACAAAGGAAGCATTGATTGCTTCAGTCCCTGCCATCTTCACAAGCCGGTATGTAACCAAGCCAAAATGGCCAACTGTGCTGTGGTTCTTTCCTTTAACTGAAGATTTACCGGCATAAAACAAACTGTAGCAAATTGCATTGCAGTAAAGTGTGGGAGGTAATTTTATGCCTGTGGTTACACATAACTTCTTTAAAAAGGCAGCCTTTTCTAGAAAACATTATAAACAACTTTCTGGGTGAAATTAACTGGATGTGCCTGGAACACTGGTAAAGAGCCTCGCCATGTTGCTCTGTTTTGAATTACTCTGATATAATCTGAAATAGGAAAAGAAACTGGCAAAATTTCAAAACCAGTCAGCTTTGATACTAGGCTTGAGTAGCTCATTTACAACAACAGCTTGTCCAGATATCTTTGCAACAGAAAGAGACAGTTGGAGTATATGATAATAGAGGCTATCACAGTTTTTGCTACCAAACCTAAAAGTAGCTCCATTTATTGTGTTTCAAATAAGTCTTTATCTTTCTTCTGTTTGGCTGTTTTCTGGCAAGATCACAGGATTCTGGTTCCATAATTTTAGGCCTATTGAATGCAATCCTGTTTTCAGCATAAAGTAACAATGTTTAATGTATAGAATGCATAAACCCAGTGCAGGAGGCAGTGTCTTCAGCAGACAACTATTTAATGATACTGTTGCATTTAAGATGGATGTCTAAGTTTGCTGAGAGTGCGTTTGTTTAACAAACTATCTGTGTTATAACAGTATTTTGAAACATTGCTTGGTTTTTCAGACACCTGAGATGAACTCTGTTGCCACATCCCCTATTAAGCCTGTTCAAGAGGAACAATCACTGACCCCTCCTGGAAAGGTCATCACCATCAGCACCAGGAGTCCAGGTTGTTCCCGCAATCAGTCCACTCTTCGCAACAAGACCTTTTCTCCCAGTGCTGCTTCCAGCTCCTCAGGTGAGCTACTTTGAGAAACATGAACAGATCAGAGCATTATGGTCCAATGTGTAGTTAGGAGGAGGTATCAAATGGGGTTTTCAAGGGGTCTGGCCATAGGGGTTCATTATTATTTAATATTTTCATTAATGATTTGGACAGTGGATTTGAGTGCACAGTTAGCAAATTTGTGGATGACACCAAGGTTAGATGGAGTTGCAGACACTCTGGAGGGTAGGGCTAGGATCCAGTATCCCCTGGACCAGCTGTAGGAACGATCTGAAATCAACTAGATGAAATTCAGCAAGAACAGGTGCAAAGTCCTGCAGTTGCAACAGAATAGTTTCATGGACAAATAGAAACTGGGGAATGATAGACTAGGCTGCAGTACTGTAGAGAAGGACTTGGGATAAAATTAAGTCAAATTGGGAGTTACAGTGCACCATAAGCTAAATATGTGTGCTCTTGTTGCGCAAAAAAAAAAAAGCCAATGGCACATTGGGTTGTATTAATAGGAGGGTCTTTTGCAAATCAAGGGAAGTGATTCTTCTGCTACATTTGACACTGGTGAGGCCACAGCTGGAGTACTGTATCCAGTTTTGGGCCCCACACTTCAAAACAAATTAGAAAGTGACAAGTATAGAGCTATAAAAATAAGGGGCCTAAGAGTCAAGATTTATGAGGAAAGGCTGAAAAAAAACTAGGGTTATTTAGTCATGGAAGGAGAAGACTGAGGGGGATTTGATAATCACCTTTCAGTTACTTGAAGGCTATTACAGAGAGGATGGAGATGGGCTTTTTTCCATGACCATAGGGGACAGAACTAGGAGCAATTGCCTTGAACTTCAGTAGGGAAAAATTAGGTTAGAAATTGGGAGAGAATGACTATGAGGGTGGTTAAGCATTGAAATGGGCTACCTAGAGAAATTGTGGAATCTCCATCCTTAGACATTTTCAAGAGCCAGTTAGACGCACTTGGCTGGGATGGTTTAATAAGATGATCCTGCCTTGAGCAGGGGTCTGAATTAGATGACCTTGGGTGCATCTGCACGTGCCAATCTAAGGTGCTGTACCCCAATTTAAGGTCACTAAGGGCACGTATCTACACGTGTGCAACCTTAATGTGCCTTAAAAATGGTGATTTTAGGTTATTCATGCCTAAATTTGATACCTGCAAAAGCAGGTATCAGATTTAGGTGCAAATAGCTAAAGTGCATTAACGCATGTGTAAAGGAGAAAATGAATGGCTGTCAGCTTGTGCACTGTTCTCTAGCTCTGTGGCTTCAATGATGACCTTCCTCAGAGCTGGCAACCCAGCACCTTCAGAGCCACACTGATTGGCCCCTAAGGGTGCTGCTCCAGGGCCATCTTCTCTGTACTATGTTATTTTGATTTTATAGCTCAGGAGTGTGTGAGGGAATCTGACTTTTAAAATCAGAGCAATACAAGTAAAAGATTAGTTTTAGGAATGTTTTTTGTTAAATGAAAAGAAAAATGTGGATATAGGCATGGAGGAAAGAGGAGTAGGAGCAACAGCACTTGTTCACTTAGGTTGAACTTCCTTGAAATAAAATCAAACCTCCTGTGTTCTGCACAGATTGATTTTGATTGGGCTGGGCTTGATGCTTCCACAATGTCTTTGAAGCCTTTAGACAGGTCTATAGGTAGGAGTGGGAAGAAGCAATGAGAAACATCAAAAGCAGTTCATTGTAGATCCGCTCCTTAAAAATTAAATGGGTGCCTGCTCCTGTATAGCATCATGTTTACACATCAGGATGGAGCTATCTTTTTAAAAGCATGTGTAATATATATTTGTTAACTGCAACATGTAGAGATGCAGAGCCACTTGAGCATGAAGGTTTTCACTAAGGTGAAAAGCAGCCTTTAATGCAGCAGATCCCAATCTTTTGGTTCACAACCCCACTCCAATCCTTATGACCCAACTTCCAGGTGGCTTGTGACTGCATATGACCCCCACTTCCAATCTGTGCCCATCTGAGGTAATTACATGTCACGGGGACTTGTTAGGTTTGGAACAACTGTCTTATAAAAGAAAGTGAAAAATTGTCAAACTGAAGCTCTTAATGGTAACGCTAATAACAGTGAATGGTATCTGTGTGTGCTTGGAATTTAATTCCAGATAATAAATAAAAGAGACATTTCCAGTGTTCTGGATTGTAACTTTGTTAGCATACAGTTACCATAAAAGCGAATTACATTTCACACGCACAGTGCTGTTTTCTGCCTCTGCTGCTGGAAAGCAAATGGTCATTATTTTTTAAATGAGCTTTCTATTTTTACAGCACTTTTTCTTTCTTTCTTCTGTCATTTTATATAAAAGCTAAATTAATTTAGCTGTTCCTATAGAAATTAAAAACCAAAATCTAGCTTACGCACACATCAGAGGAACTGAAAGTTATGGGTAACTGACAGTTTCAAAGCATCCAGCAAAGAAGGCTTGGAGGAAAGGTGGGAGGAAAAAGGGGGTAATAATTTAACTAGATTTTGTAATCCCAACTATTTCTATTGTTCTAAATCCTCTTAGTTTAGACCACGGGTGGAAAAATGTGACCCATGGGCCAGATGCGACCTGCCAGATCATTTTATCAAGCCCGCAGGGCCCCTAAAAAATTTAGAAAATAAATACTTATCTGCCCCTGACTGCCTGTCAATGTAGCCCTCAATGGCTTGCCAAAACTCAGTAAGCGGCCCTCCACCCAAAATAGTTGCCCGCCCTTGCTCTAGATTTATGATGCCCTATTATTGCTTTATGTAAGAAAATATCTTCTGCTTTCAACAATTCTAATTAACTCCCAATGAATATTGGTATCTAGCAGCATCAGAAACTTTGCAGGATTTTCAATCCTGGCTTGGCACCTGAATCACTAAACAGTGCGCAGGGAGGATCTAATGTCTTGTTCACTGAATGCAGGCAGTTACCCTTCTGCCAGTGGCCTGCTGTGTGATCATGGCCAGTCACAATATGTTGATTTTTTTTTTTTTTTTAAAGGTCATATTCATTTTGATGGAAATTGTTTCCTCAGTAGTTGTTTAGAATCTTAGGTGGTTTTCACAAGTGTGTTAAAGGAGCTGAGTAACAAGCTGGTTGGTGCTGGTGCTGCTGGGTGCTGATCTCTTGAAACATGCCTGTAGATTACATTCTTTTCTGTCTGCTTCCTTAGCGGCACAATAGGGAAATGTACAGTTGTAAGGTTAGGTAAGAGCTAATGTTCTTTAAAGCACTCTGAATAAAATGCTATGAGTTCCCTTAGGCAGACAAGGTTCTTTGGGTAGATGTGATATCTTTTATTAGACCAACAAAATAGTTGGAAAAATTCTTCTTTACAAGCTTTTGGGTACAAACACCCTTCTTCAAGCATAGGGAGAGTCTGCTGGTTGTTCTCTTATGGACCTAATTTTAAATGTATATCAATTTCTGTAGAATAAAGGCACGCTTCCTACATTGTCATTATAAGTAGCAGTGCTGGGTTTTATCCTCTATGGTTTTAAAACTGATTGGATGCCTGGAATGTGTGTTGTTACAAATGGTATTTAATTTTCTGGAAATTAAATATAAATGGAAGATACCTCATGGAACCTTTTTTCAATATGTAAAAAACATATTACCAAAACTTCTATTTTTAGATATTATGCTAGGGTATTTCTGAACTGAGTACTACCCTATTAATTCATAACCATCAGAATCTTATATTGGGATTGTATCTTTTTTTATTTTGTTTAATTTTTCACCAAATGTAGTAACAGTCCAGACCAAACCCACCCCGCACAGTATTAATTCCTCAACATTGAGCCCCCATGTTTGCATTATATTCTTCCTAACCAAAAGAGTGCATCAGACGCGTACACTTGTCATTTGGGGAAGGAAATCTGTTATTTTGGCAGCTCTAGAAGATAATGATATTGGTGTAGCCAAATGGAACTTGACAGTTTTTATATTTGTGTTGCTTTGGATCTCAAAGCAAGTGAACAGGTCACAGTATCCCCCTGGAATAGGTAAGCAGTCCCTGGAAAAATGAGGAGTAGAAAAATGTTATAACTTGCTCAAGATTAGACAGTAAGTCAGCGGTGGAACTAGGAATAGCACCCAGGACTCCAGCTCTGTTCTGTCATTCATCTACTAAATATTAAACTCCCATAATTTTGTATTTAATTAAATGGCTGTCTAAATTTTCCAGGTTTGAGAAACCCTCCTAGACCTCTTTTGGTGGCTGGTCCTTCAAGTTCTGGAAGTGCTGATGCAGATGGTGGGCTCTTTGCTGTCCCCACAACTCTACCACCCAACAGTCGACACGGAAAGCTGTTCTTGCCCAGTAAGGAAGCAGAACTTACCTTCCGACAGCACTTGGACACGATCAGTGTAAGTGAGATGGTGAAAGGAAAAGCAACTCCCCAGAAGGATTAAATCCATTTGGTTTAAAAAACGGCTGATTCTAGGTAGTCCTCTTGGTGTTTCCTGCTCTCTTCTTGTGGCACCTCATTTTTTAGACCCTTCTTTTATTGTACTAGGGTTCTCTTAAGTTTGTTATCCAGCATTAGAAAGGTAGCTTAGTGCATGGGAGAAGTCAGAGTGGGTGATCTTCTAGACCAGAGATATCAAATGTATGGCCTATGGGCTGAATCCAGAGTTTCTTGCAGCCTGGACCACCCACCTCCATAGGTTGGATTTGGTCAGTGGGGTGTGTTGCTGTGGCTGCCAAACCTCTGTAGTGGTAGTAATCCCTGCAGTTTCAGTGCAGCTCTGGAACCCATGGAGTTAATCCTGCTTGCCTTCCTCTTATCAACAAAATCGGAGTTTGTGGTTTTTTCTAGCAAGCAGCAGTGGCATTAAATCCCTGGGTTCTGAAGCCATGCCGAATTAGCAGCTCTGATAGCTGCAGGGATTAATGCTGCCACTGCTCACCAGTCATCTATATGAAGCAGATCCAGTCAGGATTCAGCCTGTGGGGCCCAACAAATTTGCCCCTGGTATAGACTATTTTGGGACTTTACAGCTATTACATGATTGCCAGTGGTTACAGGACACTAAGTTCAGTAACCCAGGTGGTCCCTTTCAGTCCTATGTTCCAATGAATTTTTTTAAAGACAGGCTTTTTTACAAAGTAGTGCCTCTTGAGGTTTTCAGGTGGTGAGGTTACACCAAGTAAAGCTCACCAGCTGTTTGAGCATACACCTGGACATGGAAGTTACACCAGCCAGAGTACAAAGAAAGCATTTGATGGTTTGCTAGTTAATCTGCTCCAGATGAAGTTTAAATATTATTTTCCCATGTGGAGAAACATTTGTTGAGAGCTCATCTTGATCAGATTTTAAAATGTCCAACATGCTTTGACTTATTTACTATTACATAGTTGTTTTGTTGTTTCAATAACTACCAGATACCAAATTATAGTAGATGAATATTTCTGACAAAACAGTGTTACAATAGTGTCCAGAGGCTGCAAATTAAAATAGGACCCTATTGTGCTAGACCCTGTACAAATGCATGACGTGATAGGCCTTGCACCAGGCTTCATTACACTTTAGGTAGGCTGTTGTAAACCAAGCGTAAGAGGAAAAAGAAACAGATAAAAGTTATGTGAATTGTTTGAAGTCATGCAGGATGTCACTGGCAAACATGTCTCCTGATTTCTTCCCTGTCCAATGGACAAAGCTGCCTCTTATGGAAGAGAACTGGGAGGTGAACCTAAAGAGTAAATTTCTGTCTAGTAAGGAAAGTATAATGTGCACAGTTGTATGAAGCTTCCCCTTCATTGCAGTCTGACTTTTACCAGGTTACATTTAGAATGACATAGATTTCCAGGGGCAAGGATTTTTTGAGGTGATATCTTTTAATGGACCAACTGCAAAATACTGTGTAGCAAGTCTCCTATTTTCCCCCCATTGCAGATGCAGTCAGACTTCTTCTTGCCAAAACCAAGGAAATTGCGGAACAGACACCTGCGGAAGCCATTGGTGGTACAGGTCAGAAAAAACAACAACACTGACGTGGCATACATGTCTGTCTTACTGAGTGAATCATCAGTTAGCTTTATAATGACAGGGTCTTCCTGACATCACAATCTAACCTCCCTCCTATGTCCTCTAGAGAAATAGAACAAGAGATTTGGTTTCTTTAATGACCAGCCTAGTTAGGTTTCTTGCATCAGGAACAGCAGCAGCAGTAGCTATATGTTAGGGGTAACTGGGAAAGTTAAAATGTGCTTGTTCTGGAAGAAAGGTTGGAAAGAATGCAGTGTAGAAGTCCCAGGGTAGATTTGTGCCTTTATAGACTAACCATGGACAGAAAGACTACTTCAGTTAGTCTATAAGGTGCAAATATACCCTGCCTTCTACTTGACTTCAGACAAACACAGCTAACAACATCTCTCTGCTGATGAATGGAATGTCCCAGCTGGGAGTTCTGCAGTTTTTCCTCATTGGAGACTTACAGCGTCTGTATGCATTTGCTGTCCTATTATGTCATTCCTTTTTCCAACAGGGTCTTCAGTTTGACTCTGTCATCATGCTGCTGTTTTCTAAATGGCTGTGGAGTTAGGATGGAGACAGATTACACCAGAGAGAAACTCTTTTGGAAAGGGCACTAATGTAAAAGTTAAGCATGGATTTTTCAGAGGGCACTGAAGAAACAAGGTGTCCAACTCCTAGTGGGAGCTTCTTTGGTAGGAACTTATGCCTTCCTTAGGTTGCTCTGAAAAGAAAAATGCAATTGCAAAATTATAGACATTAGCAGGGGGAGAAGCAGCAGATCTGATTGGCAGACAGGTTAAAGTGCAGGAAAGCATCTGAAAAATTAATATAAATGTTGTTGTTAAAACTTTTATAACATTAGTCTGTGAACTGGAACTCCTGAGTCCATGATCTGTTTAAAGGTAGTTTACAGGGGAAAAAAAATGTCATTTAATAGGCTTCATTGAGATGATCTGTCCTGTATAATTCCATCTCTTTAAAACTTCTGAATATGTTTTGCCTTGGCTTACATTGGGTGTTTATACACATGCTTCGGGGGAGGCTCTAATTAAAGCACCTGGAAGAGCACATGTATCACTGTCCCTGCACTGAAAAATGGCAGTGGAGGCACTTTAACTAAAGCTCATTTGTCACCACTTTTCAGCATTGGGATGCTGATACACACGACAGTGGAGTCTGTTGGAGCATAGTAATTAACACATTTCAGCAGACTCAGTGAATCAAGTCTGCTCAAACATGCTGTAATTACAGTGCATTGGAGCAGCCTCCCTGTACATGTATAGGTGCCCATTTTCATTCATGTAATAACAGTGACAGAAAAACAGTCCATACTCAAAGCTGACACTATGATATAGTACTCTTGCAGACTAGGAGACTGCTGTACCAGTATGCAGAAGGAAGCAACTGCAGTTTCACACGTGCTTCTGGAGGTTGTCCAGATGAAAGTTCTGTGCCAAATGGCACTTCTCAGAAAAAGCAGGCAACAGAAGCTTACATCACCTTCCAGACAAACTGAGAAGGCCTTTGTTGTGTCTGACTGATGTTGTCTACCCAGTCATGCCACATTAATATTCACTACTTATTCTGTAAGGTTTCACAACACAAAAGGTGCCATTAGAAAATTGGCATCTACTCCATCTGTTCTGTTCTTATATTTGCTTTGGTCTCCATCTCCCCCACACAGAGAACGCTACTTCCCAGACCATCTGGAAATCCGTCCCAGCATGTATGCTCCTTCTCCATCTTGTCCAACTCTTCCATAACAGGTGAGTCTGCATAGTCTTCATTCTGGCTTACAACTCTCACGTTTTGTTCTGGGTGCTTCTGGGATGAACTAGAAAACATCTTTTAATATGGCTTATGGTGAGGAGTATTGGAAAAATTGTTAAGAGGAAGAAAAAGACCCACAAATGCACTTACCAGACTAGGCAGACAAGGGTTTTTTTGGGTAAAAGTGATATCTTTTATTAGACCAACTAAATAGTTGAAAATGTTCTTTGCAAGCTTTTGGGCACAAACACCCTTGGACCAACACAGCTACAACCAACAACACTTTACCAAATTAGTTGAGTCATTTCTCCCAGGATGACAAGTTTGTGCTGCTTAACAATTTTTAAACTGCTCATAGTTCTAATCATTACTCTTCAGTTCCTCAGTCCCTCCCTGTTTTCAATAATGTAACAGAATTATGGGTGGAAATACTGAGCCAAGGATGATCCTTTTTTTAGAATAATCACTGCTGCCAAGCTTTTACATTGAGCTTTTTTTCTAGTGTTGGGATGGTGCTATGTGCATTCTGTAGTCCATTATTGGGACTATAGAGTGGGTCCACTGTTTGTCTTTCCTCTGGTCTCCTTGAATACAGTGTTGGTGCAAACTAATCCTCATCTCGCCCTACATCTCAAAATCAACCCAAGAACCTCAAGGTTATTTTCATTTTTAAAATATGTTAAAAGCAAGTGCAGTAACAGCATTGCCATTGCATTGCTTGTGGTGAGCTGCTGGTCAGCTTTATTACTGTTTACAGATCCTCATTTCATCACTGCCTCCATTGTCAGATGCCCTGGTTTGGCAACTGTGTGTAGTTTGTGGATACTGTTCCTGTTTAACTGTGTTATGGTGTGTTGTAAGGAAGATATCAGATGTTGGTTACTTTAGAGGCTTATTTAATTTCTCACTTTTTAGGGAGAGGTTCATTTCGGCCAATCCAGTCTTCGCTGACTAAAGCAGCTGTTTCTCGTCCTATTGTGCCCAAGGTTCTTCCAACACAGGCAACAAACCATCTGTCCAGTAAGTGTCCTCTCAAAGATAATGGGAGTCTTTGGGTGCCATATTTTCTAGAACTTTAAGTTACTGGTTTCTTTCATTTGAGTACAAACACTTGATTGTATCTTATTTTTTGTGCATCTACATCAACACTGCACCACAGGAGGAAGAAAGAGATTGCTGTAGGGGAAGGAGTGGAGAGTAATAGTATACTGTAGACTACCATCATGTGCCAGGACCATACCATTACTTGTCATAATACAGATGAATCTGATCCACCTGATTTTTGAGAAGAGATAGGATTCAGAGTTTATGGTTCATGTTCAGCCATGAATCTGTTTGCATGTTGTTCTAAGGGCTTTTGAGACTTCCCATGTCATCGAATCTTATAAACAAGCAGTGTTCTACCAAAGTAGGATTTGACATAAAAGGAGAAGAGGTGACATGCTACTTATCTCTTCGTTGCTTTCTTTTTTAACTGAACCTCATCAGAAAAGAAAAGAGCCTTAATTAAAAGAGTTGGTAAAGTGAGGATAAATAATAAGTAACACCACTTCACTCTGTGAACAGCTGGCTTGGGAATTCCCTGTCACAGGAAGGCAGTATAGTGTTTAATTGGAGTGAAAAAAGTTGGATAAACTTAACGCTAAATGCTTTATGTAAGCTTAGATGCAGAACAAAGTCCTAGTTTTCAGAGCATAAGTTGATTAGTTTATGCAGAAATCTGTCCCCACACAAGGCTATGGAGGTGGTAAGTATCTTATGGACATTTCTTGCAACAGCAATACTGAACCTGGGTTGCTGCCAGAAACCTAAAAATAGATACGATAGTGTTGTGTTGATTTCATACCACTTCTCTCAAATGTAGGCAGTTTCCAGAATTTACATAATCAACCATATTAGTGCAAAGTTAGAATCATATAGACCAGTGGATTATGCATTGACCTGTAAATGCAACAAAAAGCATTTCTTAAAGAAAAAAAGAGACTCTTCAAACTCCACTGGAAAAATAGTACAGTGACATAGGAGAATTGAGGAAGAGTGGAATATGGACAAACATTGGATAAAAAGGCTGTTTTTAAATAGGGATAATTTGTATTTCTGTAGGACTGGATCAGATTTGCAAATTCTGTATATCTACTTATGTTAGGACCTGCTACCTGCCTTAATTTTTTTTCTAAATAACTCAGAGAAGGAATCAAGATTAGTAATCAGTAGAAGAAAAGCCCTCTAACCATTTTTTCTGTTTTACTGAAGGTGCTATTGATTTGGCAGCAAAAAGTGCTGGTATTATCCCTGGCAGCCCTTTGCCTGTCCTAGATGCAGAAGGTTTATCAGGTGTGTCTCCACTGTCACCGGATGGAGTACCCACTGTAATCACAGGCCAAGAGTCATCAGTAGCACATCAGAATGGGGTCTCCATCACTGCAGCAGAGGTATGTATCTCTTTACACAGGCTTTTCAGATCATTCAGCATCTCATTCTTGGCATGTAAGAATCCATTTTATTTATGACACTGCATAATAGGGGCCTGTTGGATGGATGCATTTTCCAAGACAGATCCAGACCATGATGTACACAGAGCATACTTTTTTTTTTATATCGGTTTTGGGAAAAATTAGAGCCATCACTTCCAGGGTGTTTCTTCTGAAGTGGTCAGGTAGTCAGTGGGTCTCAGGGTGTGTGCATTCTGTTTTGAACTCCAGCATCCTGCTGCAGAATAATTTATAACTGGGAGCTGCAATACCCTTCAACTGCTTTCTGTACATAAAAATCAGCAGTTGTCACCATCCCAGGGAAATGGTGGGGAGAGAGGGGCCCATTATAAAAGGAAGGTGAAGTGGGCAAAGTGTGGCAGAGGAGATACTAGGATGCACATAGGCCCTGCTGGGTTTGCAGGAGATGTTTAAGTTTCATACAGTTCCTGTTGTATTTCTAGGGTTCGAGCAGTGGGTGTCGGGTTCCTTTTATCAGTTTGCCCACACAGCATGAACAGGAGGCAGTCCCTGATGGCTTCCAGGTAGAGTATGAGCACAAAGACCAGCTGTGTGAAGTTTGAAATATGGGTGTTCTTTATACAAGTGCTTAGGCATTCCAGCCCTGTTCTCTTTTCACCATACCTGCATTTTTTTAACCAGTCTGATAGAAATAGCTTGTATGGCATGTCCTACAGTTGTCAGGGTAATTGTCTGCTATTATTATTACTGTGCTGGAATGGAGGTTTCATAGGCTGCTGTCAAGAACTTCCTAAATGTTTTTTTTTATCCTATTCCATGAAAGAGTAATGTTTAACTGACAAGCTCTAATCTCTGAAGAGCAATCTGAGATCTTGTTTAATGCTGCATTGATTGTGTGGCAGAAAAGCTAGCAGACAAGTATCTTTGTTATACCCATGCATTCTGAATGCTAGAAAAAAAGTAGATTCCAGGAACTGGAAGTTACGAACTATGGCATTCCAGTCATCGGGCAGCATCGTAGGAGGAACATTACCCAAGAGGGTGGGGTAGGTAACAGTACCAGCTGTATCACCAGTATCATCATAGAAACACCTTCCCTTTGTGCTAGATATAATAAAAGTTAGGAACAGCTACCCCTAACTTTTACATGCCTGCCCCTGGAGTGGAATCCAGAGGTGCCTCAGAATGGAATTGACAGTAGTCAGCATGCTACTGCCTAAAGTTAATTCAGTCTGCATATAGTTGCATCAGGCCAGCCAAGAGAACATATGGAGCACAGGCTGAAAGATGGAGAGTTTCTACTGAAGCTGTGACACTGTGCAGTAACGAACTTTTGATTGATTAGACCAGAGAACGCGAGAGCAAGCAAGAGTTTTTATCCTGGTCATCGCGGTACTTAACAACAACTTTCCACTTGTTGGATTTTTCTTGTACCACAGGACTAATTCCATATTTTGTTACTAATGCAGTCTTGTGAGCAAGGAGTGCATCTCGGGGTTTCTTGGAAAAGCTGCCCTTAATCCATGGGTTTAGTTGTAAAGGAAAATAAGTCTTACCAAATTGGGTGTGAGATTTGAACCAGCTACAAATGTTGTGGCTGACGAAGCCTGATAGAACAAGGTTGCTCAACTTCTGGCCTGTGGGCTAAATTTGGCAGGGGAGCTATGGCCATGGTCCCCCCACCCTGCCAAATTTTCCCAAGCCCCGTGTGGTGGGCCTGGCTGGACAGCAATGCCTTCCCCTGTGGGGTCAGGCCACAATCCCTCCCCCTGCTCCTGGATCTAAGCCAAGTCACGCCCCCTTCCCTCTCCATGAGGCCAGATCAAGCACTTTTCTCCTGTGAGGCTGTGTTGGGGCTGGCCTCCTCTCTGCCCCCCTCTATGCAACCAGGTGGTGCCTGCTGTGCCCACCCAGGTGCTGAACTGAGAACAAACAATAGCTAGATCCAGCCCACAGATGGACCAGGCACTGCCAATCCATCCCATCAGGCAAAAAGGTTGAGCACCACTGTGATAGAAGATTCACATTCTAATTATGGTTCCGTAGATTAATGGGACTCCCTATATTAAGTATTTGAAAAAGCTTTTAGGCAAAATTAATTGCCTTGAGTATGCTGTTTAGGGAACATGGTCTGAGGAATGGGTGTGTCTTTTTGTATTATCAGTATGTGTTCAGAACATAAAACCTCTAGACTGTGAAGAAATGAATGTCATCACATGGATGGACTGGTGGAAGAAGATCAGTGCTAGGAATCTTTCTACTTATTTTTTATCCTGTTTACATTGCGTTTACATTGCATTTACCTGTTCTTCCAGTCCAGTGCTCACTCCCTATGTTGTAATTTTAAGCGTGTCCAAATCCTTCACAAACTTGTGACCAGTCTATTCTGTCTCTTACAACAGAGCACATCAGTACTATCTCTGTCAGAACTGTCCAAGACACCTCTTCAGAATGGTCTCTCTACTCCTCCACTTCCTCCATCAGAGGCCTCCAGTACCCGTCTGTCCCCTCCCAACGTCTCTGCTCTGTTGGATATCTCTTTGCCTGGACCACCCGAGGATGTGCTTTCTCAGGGAGAGCCTGCTACTCAAATTAGTGATTCTATAATCGAAATAGCTATCAGCTCTGGTCAATACAGTAAGTCTAACTCCAGTTAAATTATTCTCATAACTAAAGTTAGAAAAATCACTAACAACACATTCTAAATGTCAGCATATAACCCTTGCCAGAAAGAAATGATATCCCTTGGGAAGTCAGCTGTTTTCTTTTCCAATGGATGTAGCAAGCGTGGCAAGCTGCCTAACCTTTTTACCTGCAAAGGAAAATCTTGATATGGCTGGAGCTACAGAACAAAACTTGCAGGATGTGCATGTGCCGGAGTCAGTGATCTGTAGCTAATGCCTCAGCATTAAACAATTTGTGAATGACTTCTAAGAATAAATAATAAGCAAGAACTGAAGAAAATCCAAACTAGAATCTCTAACTATATTTCTCTTTCTTCAGTAACTGCATTTTAGCTGTGCAAGAGCCACATGCAGTTCTCATCACTGTAATGTCTGAGCTACTTGGAGTAGTATATTAAGCAGCATGCCTACATCTCTGTCATGTTTTCATTTTCTCCTCGTGGGGAGAAGTGTTACCATGGAGTCTGTTTGTGCATGTTAAATTCCATGTATTTAAATTAAAACCATTAATGGCTTTGACGGAGAGGTTTGTTAGCACTTTAAACTTAACACACCTTTCATCAGTATTACCCTTCTGTAGCCTAGTAATTGTTAGGGATGAGAGCACCAAATTCTTTTCTGTCCTGGGGACTCCTGTAAACTTGTAGACATGCATGAAGATAATATATGGCCCTTAAATTAGATTTTTTTTCCACAGATCTTCAGTATTCTAGGCCTTTCCTTCATTAAATGGTATGGCCTGTGGGCTTTCCTTTCCAAAACGTCCACTCTTAAAGTGATGCGACTTTTTCCTACTTGTGTAGGCTATCTTGATTGGCCAAGATCTAGGTGCTTAAAATGTATATGTATCATTTTACTGATCTCTCCTTACTTATAAGTAGTGTTTGAAGGGCAGCATTGCATAATGAGTTTATATGCAAGGCACATCTCTAAAATAACTACGCTAGTGAAGGAACACATTCCCCATTTTACTCATGGGAAAAACCACTTGTCTCAGTTTAAGTGAAGTTCTGCTTTAAAATGTGACTCTAAAATACTGTTGTGGTTGCCTGTTTGTGTTAGTGTTTCCTGATAAAATATTTTAGGTACCTTAGCAGAAAGAATGCATCTTGTCATGGCTGTGAATTCACCTTAGAGTCCAAATATTGAACTGTGTATTTTCCTTCTCACTTATCACATCTCCACAAGCTGTGTGTAGCTGGGGTTGCACTTTTTGACATACTGCACTGTTAGTATCTTTGGAAGATGCAGGGGAAAAAAACTCACTTCCCAGGGTTAGTTTGCAGGACACAGTTACAAACAGTCTTCTGCTCATAAGCTGAGCAAATCTTGATTTAGAAGCAGTAATGTGTAATGAATGTGGACCTCCAGAACATTAGTTTAGTGCCTCATCGGTACAAATGCCGTTTTTAATCTGACTTGCCTAAGGTCCCAGCTAAGTTGGGGCCAAAGGCTGAAAGTCAGACTTTGGTAAGCTACCAGAAGTCTTTGTCGCCTTATAACCCCATGCATGTTTGTGAGATTTAGCAGAGGAATGAATTGGGAGATCTAACCACCCAAGTTGGAAATGTCAGCACTTGTTGGGACCTTGGGAACACAGCTGTTAAACAACTTATTGAAACCTCTCTGTTCAATGAATGTTCATCAGCACAAGTATGCAATCAGCTCCACTCTTTTAGTTTTGCAGTTCCCCTTTAAACTATATAATTATCTCCAAGTTGTGTATTAGATTGAGCAAGTACATTGCTCATTCAAACCCAAGGCCCTTGTACCTAAAGGTTTAAGCTGTTAAATATTTTTCTTTACACTCAAAAGAAACCCTGTTGACCCAGGCTTTTAAAACATACCCTTCTTTTTAAACCAAAGAAGCTGCTTTCATTCTGAGTAGCAAAGTAGTCTTTAATAGCCACTGACTGTCCCTGCTATACATCAGGACCCTTCTCTAATGGGCCATTAGGAGAGGTTTGACATCGTTGTTTGGCAGTCACTAAGGGACCAAATCTCTTCATCTACACTTAAAGCAACCCACCATAAGAGAACCAATTCTAAGTATTCTTCGTAATGTATATAACTTCAAACAGTCTTTTACCCTGTGGTAATGTGTCTCTTACCCAACTGAGTAGTGATCTTCTAGAGTAGTGATTCTCAACCAGGGTTCTGCAATGCCCCAGGGTGCCTTGAGATCCATTCAGGGGTGCCATGGAGGGCCATACATAGGTAGAAGTGTTGTTAGGTGTGGAAACATGATTCACAAGATAAATCCAGAGATTTCAAATAGGAATCCTTAGTTAAGAGCATTCTTACCTGCTGTGGACTTTCTGAGTTCTTTGCAACAAATGAATTGCTCTAGTTTTTTGTGGGTTTTTTGTTTTGTTTTGTTGTTTTTTTGTAGTAAAAAGAATAAGGAAAAGCTCAGGGCTGGCATTTTCTGAGGGGTGCTTGGAATCTAAAAAGGTTGAGAAGCACTGTTCTAGAGGTTTTGTATTTGCAGTGTTTACAGTTTCCTTAAATGAGCCTGGATAGGAGTTCAGCTTATTTCCCTTTGTCACAAGAATCTTGCCATAGCTGGTCCAGGAATGAGGACCAGGTCATTCAGATCCCACTCTCCTTACTCAGCATCTTCCCTCTGGACATTAAAGGTCCTAGGACTGTATAGTGAAAACTAAGTTTGTCCTGTAGCTTTACAATATTGACTCAGTCTTATCCCTGGCTTTCTCTTACAGG